ATAAGCGTATACAAAAAGCACAAGAACGATTTTTCATAATTTGAGTAAATATAGTTTACAAATTGCTCTAATTAATTTCACTGTGAATGTAAATAACTGAGGCAGTATTTCCTACTTCTAATTATTAAAATATATATAGAAATCTAAAACGAGTATACCATTTAACTTTGCGAGAGTATAAAATGTTCGGTTACATCCGAACTTAGATCTTCCCTACTTGTTATATATAATTTTTAGCACATTACTGCACAATGCATTGCACACGCATTCACTTGTATTTCATTCATTATTATTATATTAAACATTCAGCACACGAGCAGATATATAAAACACCCAAACGCACATTCATGCATATATTATATTATACATACCATATGGATAATGGAAACCAAAACCAAATTATTGAATGCACTAAAAAACCAACTGCAGCCCTATTCACATGCCCTTATAATAGTCACCACTCTCACTATTGTGAGGTTTTTGAAAGCAACCCTCACAATACAAAAACAGTTGTATATGTTGTGTTTATTTCAATATTTTTACATAATTTTATAAATATTTGATTGAAGTAGAATAGCGGAACTTTTTTTTTTTATAATGTACTTCTTTATAAATATGTTTAAAGAATATTTGATGCATGTGCGAATAAAAAGATATTTGTGCTTAAACAATTCAGTTATTATTTTATGTGTACATAAGTAATATTTAATAATAGCATTCCCCAAAATCTGGTGAATTCTTTACACAAAATATATAATCCTAACTATTATAAGTACACATACAACGTCCGGTGTGTTTTACCTGAGTACATGCTGACGACCTTACCCCACGGCGCTCAAAAACACAGGCCTGGCATTTTTCAGAACCGATTTTTAGTGTGGAATGGACAATCCTTGTTAGGGTTCGAGGCCTATCTAAAATCTTTGCTGTACTTTGGGTCCGGCACCCGGTTGCAATGCAACTCCACATTAAACTGACAACAAGTCTATTCTTTCCACATTCGGGTATCAACCACCACGATACTCCCCGAAGGGCAGTAGGAGCGAAATTCAAAGTGCCCTGTTCCCCATTGTACCAGAATTAAGTCTGTGGTTAGACCTCGTAGCCGAAGCTACTACCAGTTGAACCTTCATACTGCTCTGGACTGATAACCAGCGGTTGAACCCCATACGCACATTACACGCACACTCTACTTATACAAGAAGCTTACTCTAATTCCGAGTTAAACGCTTCGCCTCCCACACAACCTTAACTGTTCGGCATTCCGACTAGTGAGGATCACACCGCTAACATCTAAACGTTCGTCAGTCTAGCTAATCCCCAAACCCCCAAGATCCCTAATGTCGGAGTACATCGGGCACTCCGCGATCACGTTAGCCCAACACCCCGACCTATCAGATAAATGCCTCTGATGCAAAAATGCATTCAGAGGCCCTTGCCTCGTAAGCAAAAAACCCAGACTCAGACAAAATTTAAAGTCTAGGCTACCCTCAAGCAACCTAACGTCTCGGATGTGCTCATAAGTCACCCCACCGTTAGGGCTATTATCCCAACGGTCTTACCACCTACTTCTGACCCTATCACCTAGAAGCCTCTTGCTTCCTAGATATCCCTCCTTCTTCACGTCATCATCGGAAATCCTATCATTCCGCAGCAATGACACACTCAAGCCTCGCTCGCTGTATGAAAATCAGGTCAAGAGGGGGTGCACCTAACAAAGCCTGCATCACATCCGTCGAAACGGTGCGACATACAGTCATCATTCAACGTTGCAACGAGAGGATTTTTCGGCGACCCGAGACCGTCATTGCTGATTCCCACCATATTGCCGCTCCATAAGTGACATAAGCCACAAATAAGCCACGATATATGGTGCGAACAGCACGGCGTCCTCAAAATGCGTCGCACTTTGCCTACGATTGCCTGTAGCTGCATCTTCACATTCACCAAGTATGGACTGAAACACATTCTTTCACTCAAGGTCATCCCCAGATATTTGAAAGCGACAATCCTTAAGCAGCATTGTCACCGTTTTTTTCATCGAAATATTAACCCCCCCCCCCCCACTAAACCTCAACCATTTACAATTTCTAAAAATTGTCTCTTGTCACTGCGATATCCACACTCGCAATCATTCCGACTAGAGGGACTTTTCATCCGAAAATTAACTCCGCGAAAGAGTAATTTTCGAACAGCCGAGCTCCTCCAGTCGTTGCACCACTCAATCCCAGCTTAGGTAATTGAATCCCACCCTTGAAGTCAACAAATATGTCAAGGACAAGCGGCATTGCCGACACCGCTTCCCTAACAGATCGTTCATAATGATCGATACCAGAGGTACGCCATCGCCGCCATGGACTCTCATACCCTGAGGTAGGGGATTCGGGAATAACCATAATTTGAATCAAATTTTGATCACTCAGTCCTCACCCTCCCTTAACGTGCTACCTAAGGTCAAAAGCCCTATTTGCTGCCTGATTCATAATTATGAATCTACCGCGGCACATACACCCAGTTGCGAAGAATCCACAACTGCGTGATCGTAGTTGGGTTCTCTCACAACAATCCAGCATTAGCCCCAAGGTCCGTGAAGCCCTTGAAACTCCCAGGAAAATCTCAACTCACACATTACGGCATACGACGCCTGAAAGTTTAACTATACAATCCCTCCCATCAGTGCCTGGCGAGGACGCGCTCAATGCCTTAGTATATATTACAGTTTCGGCAATGGGGTGTAGCTATATGGCCTTCCTGATCGCACCTCCAACAGACATCTGATTTGGCCCTACGCTCAGCCACTCTATGAGCGAAACCCATACACGGGAAACAGCCAGCAATGGGGCTATCCTGTCGCACCCGGAACTAGAAACACTTGATGTGGCACCTACCAGCCCCTAAGAGGGTTGACATTAATTTTTAGTTAAAGCTAAGGTCCTTCAGGTTCAATCGGAGTAATTCTTTCATGAATTCTTCATGGGAGATCTCCGTGTGAGCCCTCTGGATCACAACCCGAAGGACCAACTTCCGATTGACATTCAACACCATCTCCTCGATTTTGGCGTTACTCGAAACTTTCTTCCTCTCCAAAAAAAAGGGAGTGCAGATAACCAACCCACATCCCTTAATAGGCCTGACTTCGTGGATCCATCCCACCTCTTTCATGACCTTTTTAATAAATTTCTTGGAGGAAGTTGCAGGCTTCTTACTCCAGACCACAATCGACCAAGTCTCAGCAGGTTTCAGCGTCACCTGCAATCGCCCGGCATTGACCTGCCCGGCGGCAAGGAGCACCTTCCGTAGCTTGGCAGGACGTCAACTTGGTGGTGTGGGTTGTGGGCATTCTCGGTAATGACCGTCATCAGGTGTGCCTCGTACTTGGACCAAGCTCCATCAGCCCCTTCGCAGTTCCGACATCGATTTTTATCCCCAATAACCAACCTACTCAACTCCCCCGTGATATTCTCTACGGCCGCGACATGGCCTACCTCGCTGCCCCCGACAACAACAACGTCCCTTTTTTTTAGCTGCCTTTTCAAAGTTATCCTTCACGATGGTAATTTTGACCACTTTTTCACCAAAAAGATGCACAAAAATGTGCATTCAAACGAAAAAATCACTCGTTGTCCCGTACCTGTGCAACAACAACGTAACACGTTATTAGTAAATACCCGCATAAAACAAAATTCTGCAAGAATTTATGGCAACAATTACTCACGTCAGGCAACGGTGCTATGCGTAAACAGAAATCGAAAAAATCGCCACGATGAACTCGCGTCTATTCACGTCGGAAGCCAAACAACGAAGCCAGAACACATACAATACACATGAATTCAACATTTAACAGTACAAACATATGTTATTTAGCTAGTTTAAGAACTTGGTGACATACACACATTTATGAGATAAGATAGATTTCTAAAATAGTATAGAAGCAATGAAAATAGTGAAATAAAACCACATTTTATAAGACTAAAAATATATATAACTATTATAATTAAGCAACTAGACAGCGAACTGTTGCAAGAATGTTCTAAAAGGCGAAGTTTTATTAAAGATGTACTATATAAGGGCTGCCAGATTGTGCAGCACACACAGCTCTAATTAAAGTGTTGACGTGTAAAGAGCAATTGAGATATAAGCAATAAGATGTAAATTCAAAAAACGAGTAGTAGTATTAAGTTGTTGAAATTAGAAATAAAAATATGTGTAAGTTAACAATAGTTAACTAAATCAGTCTCTTGAACTGCCAAAATTGCAACCTATGCAGTTTGGATTTCTGAATGACCGACAGCCGCAATTCAACACCTTGCAGTAGCGGATGTAACGCAATGCCTTACACAAGCTTAGGCGTCAGCAGAAACTCAGAAAAGCAGCGTCAATGGCAGTAGCGGCGATAGTGATAGTAGGTTATAAATAAGAGAAATGTAATTTTAATAAAACAGTTTTAGAACGGAACTCAACTTGTGTTTATTTAAAATAACTTAATTCCGTGGTTGTCGACAACACCGTCGCTATCGCTTAAACAGAATATTATTTAAATAGTTCGTGGGTAGTCGACAACACCGTCGCTACCACTCACAACGCACATAAATATTCAAACTACTTAAAATAAAAGTAGTGATAATAAAAAAATAACTATTATTTAAATAGTTCGTGGGTAGTCGACAACACCATCGCTACCGAATAAGGAATAGAAAAATATAACTTGTATAACCATTACGTTGGGACTTATATTTAACAATTCAGTGATCGAACTCAAGGTGAGTTATAAGATAGACGATTTAACGAGAAATTCGTTACAATATTAATAAGGTTGGTATGTAAAATGTCTGGTAGCGACTTTATATACAAACTCTGCACCCTAAATTATATATCGGTTATCGGAAAATAGCCGTGCTGTTATTGTTTTTAAGTTTTAAGTATGTCAATCACAATTGGCGCGTTTCCTTTGCATTGATATTACTGATAACGAGCAATGTATGTTCACATTTTTTTTTTTTAAATTAATTTGTACAAATGGAAACTCCAAAGAGTTTAAGGAAATCACGTATTTCACGTAATCCAACGCCAAGATTATCTGAGAGGAAGAGAAGTTTATTTTCTGATGGTGTAATTAAAGTGGCGGGAAATATGTTGGAGGGAATTGAATTATTAAGATCTTCAAAAACGATTAGCGAAAGAAGCTCTGCAACAACAAGGAGTAGGCTTAATATTGAAAAGTTAAATTCAAATTGTAAATCAAGTGCCATAGGTATTATTAACGATGCTTCCAAGGACATTGGGAAATGTGTGTATACGTCACCTTTACGCCGAAGTCCCCGAACAAAATGTGATAAAAATACAGTAACGAACTCCTCTTTAATAATTCCAAGTGGTAAGGAAAATGCACGAAATACGGATCGGGAAGATGGTTCTGATGAACAGCTACAAAAAATGTTTAAAGCCTCAATGAGGTTACCCTCTAATAGTACCTCTGAAATATTGAAAAAGCGCCCAATACTGGGGTCCGAAGCAAAAAAACGTCATCTTGAACGAGCAGGAGAAAACGGTGAATTAAACTCATACAAAAAAAGTTCTAAAATTTCTATAAATTACGAAGCTCCTGGCACAATTTCAACATTGAAATTTTACTCCCGGCCATCAAGTTTATGTATTGATGCACAAAAAAACTTGCAAGTTACGATAAAATCGCCACCAATAACTAATAAATCTATTTCTCCCCGAAGTCGTGGTCGGCGGAGTTTTGGACAGATTAATATTAACAAAGGAGTGAAACACAAAATTAGACGACCGGTACGATCAGTTATATCGAGAGAAAGAAATGTTCGAAGTACCCTTTCTTCTGTAGACATTGATTTGATATTAAAAAATTTGCGCAATGAAAATCTGAAAAATCGCATCGTATCTAAACGAGTGGAGCGTCAAAATATAGAAAAGATACATAATATTTTTCGAACATGTAAAAATCCTATAGAGATGGCTCGGCCCCTCACTGTTATTTCAGGAATAGATGATACGAACAACAATACATCTGACTATGTTTTGCCGACGAATAAAAACGATCAAGAACTTGAAATGGTTGAAGATATTGATACAGACTTTTCTGACATCGATAGTAATTTTGACGACTATCAAATGCTTTCAAATGCGGAAGAAATCATTCCTTTAATTTCGCATAAATCAGCCACCATAGAAGCTGATATTATTGAAAATGAGTACGGAATTGTAACCGCTCCGACAAAAAAAAAATTTTTTAAATCTGGTCGAAGTAGCCTTACGCCTAAAGAAATTCGTATTACAGATAATATTAGAGCTTCAATTTGCAAGGGTAAATTATCTTTGATACAAGAAGAAAAGAAAATAAAAAGGAAACCTAAACGAAGACCGTCAAGTAAGTTAACTTTGAATATTATTTTATATTCTGCATATATGTGTATAAGAAATGTTCGAATATATCTAAATTTCAGCAACTTATGATATATCCGATGAACAAGCTACTGTTGAAGCGATTTTAAAGAATTTAGATGACACAGTCTATGGTGATATGGACGAAGATTATAAAATCAGTATAACTAATCAACCTATTAATGAACCAGAAGCTCTAGCCAATCTTTTATTGCAAACTCCTGACACGCAGTTATTCACTGAATTGGACTATTTACAGTTTCGTAAACGGCTTCCGTACAATACGTCTGATCCTTTACTTATAGAGCAACAATATTTGTTACTTGATTTCCTAATTAATAATAATATGTGCACGGAAGAAAACTTTACCATCTTCATAGCTGATCCAGATAACCACAAAGAAGAAGCTGCAAAAATTGTTGACCAAGTTTTTGTATTAGTAAATGAACAAGATTACTTTCGTCAACGTCTACCGTATAATACAGATGATCCCGAAGTGGAAGCGCAGCAACATCAAATGCTAAACTTTCTAATAGAAAACAATATATGTACGGAGGAAGCTTTTGATATTTTCATTGCAAATTACAACCAAAGACGTAAGGAGGCAGATAAAATAATGCAAACAATACGGAAACAAGAAAAAGAACCTGCCTCCATAAGAATTTTGCAAGAAGCCGACAATGAAGTGAAAATACAAAGCATTATTTCCGAAAATTCAAAAATTTTAGATAAAACTATTATAGGTACTTCAGTTCAACAAAATGTTGGCGAAACTCCATTACCTTTAACTCAGTCTAGCGAAAGAGACAAGGATAAGCTTTTCCCAATATTTGATACAAATACCTGGAAGCCTTTACAACAAATGTCTAAACGAGAATTTTCACGAACTTTGAATTTGGATCGGGGGACTAATCAATACCAAATCGATGCAGGACAGAGATATTTTGGTGCTCACAAATGTAAACAATGCGGTCTGGTTTATAGTATACATGAAGTAGAGGAAGAGAAACTGCATCGCGATTATCATGTATCTTTGCATTTACTGCGTTTCAAGGGTTGGATCGACGAAGATATCGTGGCTATCTACCCCGAATGGGGTTCGGATGGTCGTATATTGCGTATCACAGAATCCTCACACACCAGAAGGCATGAACGTTTAGCCGATATATTAAAAATTGTCGATAAGGAGCTGGGATTTGCGTCCTATGTTATCCCACCAACATTTGTTGTATGTTTTATACTACATAATTTTCTTTTACAAGTTAACGTATTCATTTTAATTTCAGGCATATTTGGCTGTCCGTAAACACCAAATTGTTGGTCTTTGTTTAGTTGTACCTCTCGAAAAAGCTAACAAATATATTAAAATAGAAGGGCTGGACTGTTGCACCAAAGAAGAATATCCTGCCAAGTAAGTATAGAGTAAGACATTTGCTATTTGTCTCTAGCCATTATGCACATTTAGATGCGGTATATCTCGTATATGGGTTTCTCCAATACATAGGCGTATACATATAGCAACAAAACTATTAAACGCGGCGCAGCAGAACACCATATTCGGAGAGGAAATTCCACTGGACATGATAGCATTCAGTGCACCAACTGAAGCTGGCCGAAAGCTCGCACAGAAAGTGACTCAAATAGATAATTTTTTGGTATACCAGTGAAAATAGGCATGGTTAAGGTGAAAATAGGAAACGGAAAATAAAGGAATCCAAAGCCCTAGTTGTGTAATTTAATTGTACAGTCTATATTTTTACCATGCATAGCAATATTTTGTTAATATGTTTGAAACTGAGGGTTTTCAATTATATTGTACAATATATTTAAGATTCAATTTTTCGAAATTGCTTTATTTTGTATAATTTTTAAATGATCCTTAACTTATTCGTTATCGGCTAAAATTTTAAAAGTAAGATGAGTAACATTTTCAGACTTCATTACAATGGTGGCAACTTTTCGGGCAATCACGTCACTTTGAGTTTAGGTTGCAAACGATATTTTAAAAACATGATGAACTACAAACCAAATTCTATGGATAGCAAAGCGCTCTTTGAGTCTCTAGATAAAGTGCAAGAAACTGTTTTCCGCGTGCTAATAAACATCGGCGATAATAGTATTGTTAGTAACGATGAGCAGCTACAAGTGGATCCTCACAATCATAGACGTACGCTTGTAAAATTTTATTACGCCAACACCCAACAGATCAAACTTGGTATTGAAACAGCATAGTGTAGAAAAAAATATTGGCAGAGTACCAATCTGAGAGAAAGAGCAGAAATCTGGCGAAAATGTGCCGATATTATCACAATAGAAGACTATCATTTGCTGAATGCCGCGATTATGTTGGGACAAGATAAAACACCGAAAAAAGCTGAGAAAGATACTTTCGAGTTAATTGCGTTCTTGCGAAAAGTGCGGATTATATACTGCGCCTATCCCAAACTAATCTAAGCAATAGTAATCCTGAACGAATCAAAACAACATATTTGCAGCTTCCACTAAACGGGTTCGACACAGATATTTCACCATGTGCTTTGGAAGCCTTCCAGTAATAGTACTTGTGTATATTCCGATTACTTAGTTTGGAAAGCTACAAAGAAAGCCGGTATGCCTCCGGGTGTTCTAAACTTCGTACCATGTAATGGCAACTTATTTGTGGACGTAATTATTAAATCACCTTATTTTGGGGGCGTTAATTTTGCGGGGAGAACGACAAATTTTCATAACATATTAAATGTTACTTATTTACGAATTAAAAATTTCAAAAGTTATCCACGTATGGTGACCGAATGCAGTACGAAAAACTTTCATTTTGTCCACGAAAGTGCGGATGTGAATGTAGTAGCAGAGGCAACTGCCCAAGCAGCCTTTGAATACTCCGGCCAAAAATGTTCAGCATGTTCATGTATTTACGTTACAGAAACGCTATGGGTTCAGCTAAAGAAAGAACTATTAGACCAGATAGCCTGTATTAAGGTGGGCGACCCAAGCGATGTCACATCAGTAACATCGGCCGTGTTCAGTGAAATTGAATATGAGCGCATAATAAAATATATTAAGAGAGCCAGTCAGTGAGCCATGAATCAAAATCTCAAATTATATATGGTGGAAATTATTGCAAATCTCATAGCTATTTTATAGAATCAACAGTGGTGGTTTGTAACGGCCATTTGGATCGCCTAATGACTCAAGATATCTGCGGACCAGTGCTAAGTATCTATCTTTACAAAAATAACGAGTTAGATAAGATCGTAAGCTTGTTAAAACAAGAATCAAGATATGCCTATACTGCGTCAGTATTTGCCGAGTCAAAAATTGTCCATAAACTAATTAAGAGATTAAGCTCTGTATCAAATACTTTTTCTATCAATGAAAGTTGTACAGGAAATATTATGAGACACCCTAAATTCAGCGGAAGCCGTCTTTCTGGCACTAATGATCACAAAAGTTCAAAATTTCATTTTATGCGTTGGGCATGTCAACAATTAATTGAAGAGGCTACATGAACTTACTTGAAATTGTATTATTTATTATTTTAATTTTTCAACAACTATTCTAATAAAAATAAATACATACATACATATGTATGCATATATGAGTATGTTAAAAATTATATAGTCCCACATACGACATTGAATTGAAAACTAAGTGTTCCAGCGTTGTTTAATCTCATCCTAAAATCTAGGATGTTACATGCTATTCTTGGAGAATCATTGTTTTATAATAAAAGTTTTTAAATAAAATAAATTAAAAACATATAGTAGTCCAATCTGCCCAATTTCATTGGGCCTTGAGCAATAATCCATACTATCGCGACAAGACATCTGTCAAATAAAAAAGTTTTCCATACAAGAACTTGATTTTGACTAAACGAAGTATTGAAGGTATATGCTATAGGGGTCTAATATCGGCAAATGACAATGACTCGGGGAGAAAAGGACGCGTGCAAAATTTCATATCTATATCACCAAAACTAAAGGAGTACTGTGCGTATATACTAACAAACAAACGGACATGACTAAATCGCCGGCCGGTCTAAAACTACGCTGCAACGCAGACGAAGAGGCTTCAGATATGCCAGGACACTGCACTCCGGACTATCACAGGATGCCTCTTAATGTCTCCAGTCGAACACTTACACAGTGAGGCCCGTATGCTTCCGGTTAAGGAACACAATGAGCTCCTCTCCAAGCAGTTTCTTCTGGGATGTTTTCGCAGAAACCAGCCCTGCAGTTGTCTCCTTTAAGCTGAACCGCCTCCCAGGAACATCAAGACGTCCTTTCTCGAATACGTCGACGACATTGGACAGTACACCGACCAGAATTTGGACCCAACTAACTTCAGACATGCATTGACCGCCATTCACAGCTGAGCCATTAACGCCTTCACCAACTTCCTTTCAGTGAATGGCGTACTTGGAGTCCAAACATCTCCCATCGCAGACGAATAGCTCGGGCCCAATCATCTGACGCCTTTTCACCAAGCGGGGATTAGATAACCGTTACTACAACAACAACAACAACTAATTGTGACAGGGTGACATAAGTTATGATCGCGACAAAGCCTCGATGTGAATGAAATAGAATGCTATCAGCGTATTTTGGTAATGTCCCCACGATGTCCCATAATTACGACGAAATGTAGTGAAACGATACTCCACGAACTTTTGGATTCCTTCGTACAGTTAATATAGTTTGCGACTGAATCTCCTTCTGAACGCTGGGATTTTCTTAATCCAACTTTACAACCCTTAATAGAGATGCTACTGTATTGTCATCCAATTGATGTAGTGGTTCAACAGAGCTTACGCAAGTATGTATTCCCCCAAATTGGCTATTATATTAAAAAATTTAATATATTTTTCAAACTTATGGCCAAAACTAATCCTATTGTCAACTTGAGCATTCAGGAAAATATTCTAGAGATGTTATAGAATTAAACGGCAACAAGAAAATAATTGATTTTTTGAAGCCGTGAAATCCATATAACCATTAAATGGGAAACCCCTGAAAACCAACAATTTTTTATTTAATAAACTGTTCTATTTTCTACCAGGAAGGTTTTAGTTTACTAAAATCTTTTTCTCATCAAAGTTCGAAGTTGGTTCGAGAAAAAGAGTTGATTGACTTGCGAAACCATAACTGTACATTCGAAGACTATAAACTTCGATGTAATCATGTGGGTTTTCGATTGTTAATTGAATTGGACGCACTACAAGGCTATTTGTTTTGATTAACCTAAAACTAAAATTAAGAAATCAATTGCTTTAAGGCAATTTTTAAAGCAAAAATTGGAAAAGCAATTATTTTGAAGTAGTGGAACGAAAAAAATACACTTCTTTTATTCAAAGGGACTATCGAATCAAAATATTGCCAAACAAATAAAATTACATAGATATTTAAGAGATCCAGAGGCCTGTTGAAAAAGCTATTTAAAGCCAAAAAAAATCACTAATACTTGAACATAGAATTGTTGCGAGTTGCTTCCAATTAGACTGCGTCTGTAGTTAAGATCAGGCATGTAGCCAGGGTGAACACTAGCCTTTCAACTGTTCAGCGTAAATCAAACCTGCAAACCTCTTAAGTTTAAGAAATGACGTAAAAACCATCTCTGAACGCCATACTCAAAGAAGAACGGATTCAATTTGTGAAAGAGTAAGATGGCTTAAAGTGTTCAGATACTCGGCTCAATGAGTTAGTTGCTTTTACCTTGTTGAAACATATTTAAATTATAACGGTTTGTTTTCAATTCATAACGGTCGATTAGTTAAGTCATTTATTTTCAGTCAAAACGTTAATGGCATGACTTGGACACCATAGTTTAAGAAAAAGTAAAGCAATACGAAGATAAGAAACAGTAATTGCGGCACTTGAACTTGCTTGGAGCGCGTTTCCCCAAAAGTAAATAGATCATTCAACAAAGAACGGTATATATGAAGTTATTACACACTAAAGAAGCACTACGCATTACGTATAATACGTATTTTTAAGTTTATTCTAATAATTCAAAAATTTACAATTCACTAAAAATAAGTTCCTTTTTTCTAAAAATTTATCAATCAATCTTTAAGTGCATCAATTCTAGTGACCAAGAAAAAATTACCTTATTTTAAGTTACTTTAAGAGAATGTTTGAAAAACTCCATTTCGGTTAATTTTGTAAATCCTTTGGATATTATTCTTGAAGTCCCATTGAATAACCAACACTTTTGTATATCAACTTTGATAAGACTAAATTCAAAATAAAAGTTAATTGAATTATAATAAAAGTACAGATACGCCTATCCTACGACGAGGAAAGCGTATGTCTTTGAAGAAACTTTTTAAATCTGTAGGAAGTGATTGTGGCTATCGAGGTGTCCATACTGGAGTTTGTTGTACATACATATGTAAGTGTTGTTTGGAATCTCTATTTGTGGTGATTGTGAGAACTGTTATCTCATCAGCAGACGTCTCACCAACAGTTCCGGGCTAAATCGCGTTAGATCGTCAACATACCTATACCTAGCTATAGGACAAAATCGGGTAATTTCTGGTGAAGTGAAACCGGGTATATCACTGTTATACTAACTATCGGTCTACTAGATAAGGCAACTACTAGAGTATTCTGCATTATTTGTGGCGATGTATTGTTTACAAGTGTTGAATTTGCAAATATACTAGATTTATGAACTCCTGCTATAAATATAGCCAATTTGAAATGGGGTAAAGATTTATGTAACCTACTTTGATAAAAAATATTAGAGGAATCATATTAATGCAGGAAACTACATTTAATTAAAAATACTTCAGAAAAACACTGAAAAAACACTAAATAATTTATAGTATAGTACTATAATTAGGGATAAAGAATATTGATATATCAACAGCCATGATAGAATACAACAGATTACAACTGGTTGCTCACAAGGTTATCACACCTACTACAGACTCTAATTATTAACAAGCTCTTAGTTTTTTCAACGGATAATGGCGAAAAAATTAGAATTTTCAGTAATTTTTTTTGCTATTAATCATATTACTTTACAAAAGTAGTAATATAGCATTAATATACAATGTTTTGACTTGAAGTCACGAAAATTTCAAAAAAAAAACAATATCAATTTCCAAAGTTATAGCTTTCTGTGTTGACCCAGTTTCAAAAAAAAGCCCTTGCGGTTCTTGGAAATTCATCTACAATCAAATGAAAGAAATTAGTTTTATAAATAGATAATCCTGGGCCTGATCGAAGCTTCCATTTTCAAAAATTAACAAAATGGCGGCCTTAGGAATTTTTTTTTGTAGAATTTTGGAAAAAAATCAACTGTTAACTGATCTTAAAAAATCGAAATATTTGAAAAAAAAATCATTCTATCAGGCCCGAGTTTATTATGTATTCTAAAAGCTGTAAAAATTTCATTAAAATTTACTGAGCGGTTTTTGAATTACAGTTGTCATCGAATAACTCAAAAAGTAATTATCGGATCAACTTGAATTTTTCAAAGAATATTTTCAAGATATTACACTACAAAAAAAAAGTGATTATTTTAAAATTCTGACTACCCTTTACCCCTTAAGTCTGCCAAAGAGATGACCTGCGCTCTATTCCCGTTGTCGTTTCCAAGTTGTTGTCGTTGTTATCGGCGCTTCGTTTATATATTCGAATTCTTGAAATATATCGTAACGCCAAAAAGTTATCGAAATTTTGAATTAAATTAAAAAAAGTATGACAACGCCAAATAGCGCCATTGTATCTGACGTTGTTATTTGGTGTTTTGAATGTGAATGTGAATGTACAATAAATGAATGTGAATGTACAATAAGCACATAATAAGTAAGGCAATAATAATAATAATAACTCTCCTCCTGTGGCTCTAGCTTCGGATTTGTTGTGTACCACATCTGTTCTTTATTTTGAATTTTGAGTACTTACCTTAAATATATACATACATACATAAATGTTAAACATCTTCATAGATAGAAAAATGCAATTTTACAAATTTTATTTGATTTTTCCGTCTCCCTCGCGACATGGAGGTGCATTAAGTTTTTTCGAAATATCCCTCCAAAAAATATCGAAATTCAATGGTTTTATCCCATTTCTTAAATCTTTGACATACGCAGAATTTTTTCAATAATTATTCATATTAACTTCAAATACTCGCGCTCGTTTCTATCTCGCTCTCAATTACTACAACGACACCGAACGACTGTTTTGTTATTTTCGATAAATGTCGATAGGGCCGATTAGCAATTTAGAAGCGGTCTTAGTGACGAAAAAAATGGTGAAAGTTCCCTTATGACTCTCTATGGTTCGATCCCGGATAAAATGGACGTTTCCTGGGCCTACCGTTAGATGACTTCGATATCGTATATATACAAACTAGTCACTCAGTTTTCAAGCTATCGATCTGGAATTTCGCACCTGTGTTTTTCTCGCCAAGAAGCTGCTCTTTTGTCGGAATGGCTGATATTGGACCACTATAGCATAAAGCTGCTATACAAACTGAACAATCGGAATCAAGTGCTTGTATGGAAAAGTCTTTGATCTATATCAAGTTCTTGTAAGGAGCCTTTGTATTTGTGAAGGGTATTCGGTGCAACCGAAGTTAACGTTATTTCTTGTTTTTAGCTTATTTTTAAAACAGCAGACGTTTTCTCCGGTTGCAACAGTCCGGCAGACGCCAATATAACCGTTATGTTGTCAAATGTTTTTAGTTGATTTTGATCTGCTATGCCCGCAGAGGGAAGTCGTTGTTGTTGTAACGGTTACCTAATCCCCGTTTGGGTGATGAATTCCAGATTGGTTGTCGTCGAGGTCATCTAACGGGAAGCCCAGGAAAAGAGCTGTTTCGACGGGGTCGGACCATAGGGAAAAGGGTGTTAGATGAGTGGGGTTCGTTGGGCATGCAAAGAGGTGGTTAGTGTCATGCGGAGACTCATTTTACGCAGGAAATGTGTTTGGTATGTCGGGGTCTATTCTGGATAAGTAGGAGTTTAACCTACTTCAATATCCAGAACGAAGTTGCGCGAGGGTCACTCTGGTTTTGCGAGGCAACTCGTGTTCTACGTCTGCTATGGGTGGTGGTTTGAATAATAGTACGCCATTCAATGCGATGCAGTCGGTGAAGGTGTTGATGGCTCCACTGTGAATGGCGTTCAGTGCCTGTCTGAAGTTTGTTGCGTCCGAAGTCCGGTCGGCGTACTGTCTAATGTCGTCGACGTAATCAAGGAAAGACCTCTTGATGTTCCTAGGAGGCGACTCCGCTTCAAGCTGACGACTGCAGCGGTGGTTTCTACGAAAACAACCCAGCAGAAATTGCTTGGAGAGGAGCTCGTTATGTTCCTTAACCGGAAGCATACGGGCCTCACTGTGTAGGTGTTCGATTGGGGACATCAAGAGGCATCCCGTGATAGTCCGGAGTGCAGTGTTCTGACAGGTCTGGACCTTCTTCGTCTGCGTAGCACTACATCCAGGCGACCATATGGGGCTGCATAGTGTAGGACCGGCCGGCCGATTGTCTTGTATGTCGCCAGCAACGTTTCTTTGTCTTTTCCCTCAAGAGCTGCCGGCAAGCGATTTGAGGATTTTGTTGCGGCTCTGTACTTTGGCAGTTATCGCGGTCGTGGGAGGAGTGAAGGAGAAAAGACTATCTAGTGTAACGCCTAAAATTTTAGGGTTGTTTACCGTGAGAATTTTGGTACCATCGACTGAAATGTTAGATCCAGTCTGTACTCTTTCGTCCAGTTCGTAAATATGGTCGCTGTGGATTTAGTGGGGAGAGTGTCAGACTCCTTGCAGAGAAGAAGCGAAAAAGATTTGACGTCAATATCGTGCAGTCAGCTTACGAGGTCACGGAAATTCCCTCTGGTAGTTGGGGGAGTTTCGAGATGTAGAAGTTAAACAGTAAAGGGGAGAGGACAACACCCTGCGGAACCCCCTGTTTAATTCTTCTCAGTTTGGAGTTTTGACCTCGAAACAGTACGGACGAATGCCGACCGCTGAGATAGTTCATGGTCCACCTCTTCAGCCATGGAGGGAGCGTAGATTGTTCGATGTCCTCAAGTAGCGTTGTGTGATTGACTGTGTCGAAGGCTTTCGACAAGTCCAACGCTACGAGGATCGTCCTCTCGCAGGGTGGCTTTTGGTTCAGGCCATGAACTATCTGGACGTTTATGACCATGCCATGCTGATGTTCTGCTAGACTAAAGTGGTGTGTGAACGTCGGGAGTAACAAGGCCTCAAGTGTCTTCATTACTGGGGAAAGGAGAGTTATCGGGCGATAAGACTCCCCTTTGTTGGCGGGTTTCGCAGGCTTCAGTAGTGGGACCACTCTTCCGACTTTCCACACATCGGGTATTTGAAGAGTGGCCATCGACAAGTTGAGGACCTTGGTGAGGTAGCTTACTCCCGTCGAGCCTAGATGTTTTAGCATCAACATGCTTATTCCGTCTGGGCCAATGGATTTGGACGATTGTCAGTCGAAGGGTGCAGTGTAAACTGCCGGCTAAAATAGCTCGCGTACTTCTTCGGGTCCGAGAAGGCATGGCCATCGAATTGAATTTCAACCCGATCGTCATGTTTCCTCGGATTTGACAGGGCCTTGACAGTAGTCCAAAGATTACTTACACCGGTGGAGAGGTTGCAGAACTTCAGGTGCTCCATCAATTTTGTCCGCTTATGATGGTATACCATTTGCCGAATCTCCAAATTGAGATCCCTTATTCGGGGATCACAGGGATCGGCATGGCGTAAGGTGTCGCGCTCGTTTGCTAGTACAGTTGCTTCAGCTGGGAAATTAGGGCGCAGAGGGAAATCAGCTTCTCTGCTTGTATGTATGCAACAGATCACTCAATGCAGGACTACAGGCTCTACGTCTTTGTATTTCTTCGTGTTGTTCATGTTGCAAATAAACTCTTAAATAACAATAAACAGACCTTTTAACATATCCGGAGTTAAGTCAGCGCTTTTCAAACTTCCAAGATCTCAAAATTCACCGTTTTTCTTCAACAAAATAAAGTCTCTTCTTTTCCTTTATTAAAAAATGCAGCGTTGAAATGACATCCGGTGAAACCGTGAAAATCAATGGTGCAGGTGTTTGCTTGCTCGAACATCCCCTTTTTATTTGACGAGATATCTTCAAAAAATTTTACATGATTTATTGTCTATAGCAGTTACTCAAATTCTTGTTTGGAAAACTTGTTCTTGTTTCAAAAAGGCATTCTTTACGCAAATTTACTGCGACGAATTGTTCAAAATGTGGAATATCAGTTGTTGAACCTGATTTTGAAGGCACTTCACTCGCTTCTTCCTGCAGTGAATTTTGATTCGGATTTCCATCTTTTACATTTTCACTTACATAAGTTATGTTTCCTGAATTTGAATCTTGCACTGTAGTATGATTAGTTTTTGAGCTACTTGCAGATAATAGGGGCAGCCCATTTGATTTACATACATATGTATATTCCGATAGAACACATGATTGAGCAGCTGATAAAACTTCTGTTTTACTTGTTTCAAAAAAATTTTTTTTTTAATGCTGTAAATAAACTTACTATGATATCCTGCTCCAAAATATCACTTGGTAAAACATACATGCAAGCAGAGAAGCTGTTCAAAATCAACTAAAATTACGTCACAACATAACGGTTACATATCTTGCCGTCTGCCGGACTGTTGCATCCGGAGAAAACGTCGGCGGTTTTAAAAAATAAGCTAAATAATATTTAAAAATGTAAGTTAAAATATTTTTATTTTTGAATTTTCAAAACCTCTGCCGAGATAATAACTAAAATGGTCTGCTATGATTTTGGGCGTTGCATTTATTATAGTCTGACTTAACGTACTAATGCAAAATATCGATACAGTATGTCTACAGTATTTATATGTACATCGTCGGTATGCAACGCCAAACATTGCAAAATGATAGGTTGTATAATTTGACGTTACAGAACACTGCAAAAGTTTACTTTCGCAAAAAGCTGTTTTGCGAGCCTATAAAGACAAATAGTTTATTTATAAATAATTTCTTCCGTTTCTTTCCGTTCTACAAGCATATATCACCTTTGATAAAATATATATAGTCTGCCGTACACTGGTCCACTAAGTTGTTGTACATAATTTTTGTGGATGATGCAGTTGGCAGTCATTGGGAGGATAAAACGTAGTGGCGGAGATAGCATAACAAATGGTTATCGAGTACTATCAATTTCAAGAAGCACAATTAAATTCATTTGTTATAACAAGTAAGGAACGGCAAATTTCGTGTGTAACCGAACATTTCATACTCTTATAAATTCGAAGTTTCAAAGCAGCAGAAATACCTTCAGGGGTTGGCAAATAAAAAACAATTCAATAATTATTCGACGAACCCGGCTGGTAAACTATCAAACATGTATCTTATTAACATATATATATAATTTTATAGATCATAGAATAGCGGAAATCACTACACAGGTATACTCGAGAACATATATTTAAACAATTTTATAAATATATAATATAACTCACACATTGACCCACATATTTGACATAGTTTGTTAGAAGAACGAAAATCTTTATACCATATGTGTTGTAGTATAAAAGAATTTCAGATATTTTCGGTATTAAACTAGAGTATATTCAGTATTATACGTTCAGTTAATGTTGCTAAGATATCTTGCATATTGACCGATATATACGGTATAAAGGCAACCGGAATTTCGAAAATGTTTCTATTAGGTATGTATATGGGAACCAAGGGAATTATTGATCCGATTAAACTCATCCCTGAATTTCTATAATATATCTCACTGATTGACCGATGTTTTCTATAAAAAGTTTGTAATTGGAGCTGGGGTTCACATATTCGGTACCTAGGGGCTTAAATAGTTTTTGTTCGGTTTGAACCATTTTTGGTCACAAGATTGCACACTTCAAATGCACTATTCGTGTAAAGTTTCATCCCTTTGTATTCTTAGCTTCTTGATTTGTATACTAGAAACTGAAAGAATAAAATGGAATTTAAAATTATTTTATACGGAAAGTAGACGTGGTTGTAGTCCGATTTGATCCATTTTCAAACTGTAACATAAAAATGTCACAAACCGTATTGGGTGTAATCGGCTGAGCTGGTCCCAAGCGTTGGATTTTCACCTAAATATCGGCGGTGCCACGCCCATAGTCCAATTCGCGTTTTTTCGTTAATGCAGTAAATACTGCGCAGGTTGCACTGTCGATTTTATGCTGGCTGATGGTCTTGCATGAAACTGCTAAAAACTGTGCATTCGAAAATTTACATTTTCCAACATAAAAATGTGCAAAACATTTCTTATTAATACTCTCACTGACGAGTTAGAAAACAAAAATTATCGATTTTTATCAAAAGGTACAAAATGCATCGTGTAAAAAAAAAAGAAATACATTTAATTCCGAATAGCTTTAAAGTCAAACGGATTATTCTAAAAGTGAAAGCTTCATTGGACTTGACGCACTCTTTCTACTATATTCTATATAATAAAAAAAATCTACAAATACAATAAAACTAAATATAACATCAAAATTATAGCAACATACATATCTTACAATGACATTTTAGCTAGCACAGTTGGTTTTGGTGTAAGTTTTTGTGCAACTACTTTTCAATTGTTGCAAGTTTTGTGTGTTTTTGCGCAACAGCTATGACAGTAATGGTTTTTCCAACTTTAAATTTTTGCAAAAATTGACATGTGTGCATTTTTAAACTGGTTGCATCATGCATAAATACATTTATAGATTTATCGCTTTTTTTAGTAGTTTTTAAGAAAACCCTCATGTGGGGAGTGTGCGGGGTTATAATCTGAATTCACACATTTTCACTGTCGACAAGGGTACTAAAAAAAAAAAATGAATTTGGCTGAATTTGGTTATTATAGTTTTAGGGGTTTAGGAGATACGTACATTAAAACTATTAGTGGGCGGGGCCCACTTCTTCAAAAAATTTTACACTCCAAATGCTTTTTCCTAATCCAATTCCTTATACCAAATAACAGTCTTGTATCTTATTGTGGAGCATAGTCATGGCTACTTTTTGGATTTCGATTAATGGGCGTGGTAAAGGTCCGAATATGACCATCTACAATACCTACCTTTTTATAGTCCCAAAAAACATGTACCAAGATTTGAGATATCTCAATTTTTACTAAGTTACAGCTTGCACAGACGGACGGACGGACGGATAGGCAGTCACCAGTCCACTCGTCTCCTGATCATTTATACATACATTGCCCTATATTTTAGTTGATACAAACAACCGTTAGGTAAACAAAACTATATTACCCTGTATCAACATGTTGTAAAAGTATGAAAATGATTGGTTTTAACACACTTCATATCTCATACGATGAAAGTTTTTCGTAAATTTCAATGTCTTTATTGATGTAGCCAGAAATAGTACTATATTTTTAGAATTGTTGGGTTTGTTTTATCAATTACTATTATTTAGTTATAATTTAACTTTATGTATTTAATACGTTGTATGTTGTATCTGGTATAGTGTGTGCATTATGTAATCAGAAAACTAGTAACATAATTTTGCATTTAAATTGTAAATATATACAATTTTTTCCTTTTTGAAAATCAGTAAAATTATTTAAATATTGAAAAAATTAGTTGAAGGATTAATAATAATACATCTAATGAATTGTCATTTGACTGTGAACTGTATGCATTTATTCTTCACACAAACTGCCACTCATATAAGTCATGCGGCCGAAGTAAAGTTCATCTCAGTACGGTGCATAGCGGCGACCAGGCGGTGATGGTCCGCGCATTCCCCTGGAGGAAATCATTCTATCATCGAATGAATCTCGACTGAAATCTTCATAGCTGTAAATGAAAATAATTAGTAAAATGCCTACCTTGCGAAAAAAATTTCAACGTACCCATAGCGACCAAGTCCATTGCTGCTTCGAGGTGGTGGAGACCTACGACTAAACATTGAATCGTAACCACGGGACAAGCTGCTACCTCTTATACTGCCACTAAGCGGCGGGGGAAGAGGCATAGGTTCTCGACGAGATAGGGGTGGAGGAGGGAAATCACGCATTCTGGAGCTTTGGTACCGCCTTTCGAATAAATCGCGGGTATCTTCAAACCTACGATCATAGTAATCATAATCCTGAAAAAGCAACAATCCACAGTGATCTAATTAAAATATCACGTTCCAAATCGTGCTCTTAACGCACCTTACATATACATATGTATATATATATAATTTAATTGTATAGACATATTTATATTATATAAATTTCGAAATTGATTTCAACATATCATCAAAAAGACCATTACCTAGCTTTATTTATACTTTCTATAATTTTTTATTTTAATTAAGGCTAGGAAACCTGTATTTGTACAGATAAAGTGTACCCATTCGACCGAGAATTATTCTTGGTCACCACTTCCTATCAAATTCTATAAAATTTTTTAATATAACTACGATCTATAATGATAATAAAGAGACAAAACTAAATTATCCTTATAAAATATACAATTATGTATATATTGACGTCCTCCATAAACCTCCAACGCAACTATCGCAATAAGAGGATCAGCAGACTCAGCGATAGTCAGGCGGTACTAAAAGCGATCTCGGCTTTTGAGGTCAAATTGCTACTAATGCAGGAGTGCATAGAACGGCTGAACAGTCTATCAAGCCACAATAGAGTGCACCTCATCTGGGTGCCTGATCACAGGGGTATAGAAGGAAATGAACTGGCTAAGGAGTTCGCTCTGCGGCATTCACAAAAATGGTAGGACCAGAACCCTGCATAACGGTTGGTCTTAGTCTCTTCTGCAAACTTCCGGTTCTGTGACATGGAGTCGGAAACTCCAGAACACCTGCTAGTGGACTGCACAGCAGTCTGCAGAGGCAGAGTTAAGGCCCTAGGATCCATGTTTTCAGACAGGGATCGCATCGCTTCACTAGCACCTAGCTGTATATTGGATTTCATCAGTATGCCTGGGCTAGATAAGTTGTTGTGACCTAGTGGAGGGCACAATAGACCAAAGGTCGCGGTGCATACTTTTATTCTTATCTAATCTAATCTAATATATTGACGTAAATTTACTTGAAAGCAGTCGTGGAGAAACTCATAACCTAATTCACATTAATGTTGTAATCTACTCTTTTTAAGAAATAAGTAAAATACTGTTTCAAAACTATGTGTGTTGGTCAATAGCGTACTTATTTTTATTATTAATACAAAATTTACCCTAAAGCCATCCATGATCCTGTCGCGTAAGAATGGTGGTGGTGGTGGTGGTGGAGGATACGGATCACGACCGTACATTCGGTCTCTATAGCCGCCGGCACTTAAACCGCGATCACCGCCGTATAATCGTGGACATTCTTTAGACCAATGGCCGGAACGACCGCAACGATAGCACTGCTCCGGATCACCCATGCCAGGTTTAGGGCGTACACGGCTAGTAGAAACTTGGACTTTAAGTGGCTGACCGTCGACGACGCGACCATTCAACTCCTTGATGACATCTTGCACGTCACCGATGCAATCCAAGTGAACGAAACCGTAGTTACGAACGATGTCACACTCGACGACGGTTCCATACTTTTGAAATAATTCGCGCACCTCGGGTGCTCGCGTTTTATCCGTTAAATTTCCCACGAAGATTTTCGTTGTTGGCGTATTAGGTGCGCGACGACTTTTCGCCGCTTCCACTTTTATAGCATTGTCATTCAAAATGTACCCGTTCAAATTTTGGATAGCGTCGCGTCCCTGCTGTTCTGTTTCCATATGAACAAAGCCATAATTTTTCACGATATCACATTCCACAACGGTACCGTATTTCTCAAATAGTAGTCGCAGTTCAGTAGCCTGCGTCTTTTCATCAAGATTCCCTATAAATAGTTTGAAAGTGCCTGCTCCGGGCATTTCAACTGATGTTCGTATGTAACTTACGATTTGGTGTTGAAAATTATCTGGTCCTTGCAAAAGGAGGACTAAACGAAAAAGTTGCGCGGCGAAACTGAGCTTTCGGTAAAACAGCAACAAGCGATAGTTGACGGAACGGATGCGGTTAAATTATCCCCGAGATTCTACATTATTAAATCAAACAAGTTTTCTATTATTTAAAATAACCGATAAACAGTACATTTCATAAATTCTTAATATTAAAACCATACCAATAGGCATTTGACGCAGAAGCAAACGTTAAAACACGAGACGGGAGAAACTTCTTACAACACGTAGATTAACGCTACTATTTACTGCACACGTTGAATACTCAAAGATGGCGGCTTAATTTCAATTAACACATACGTAGCCTAATATAATTAAAATTTGACTTACCTCAACCTTAATAATACAAGTATATTAAAGAAAATAATATTCGAAGTACACTTCAATCTAAACTGTAATAAACCCGCAACCACTATAACCACCAAATGACTTTTTCAACAATTTTTTTTTTCTAAACCAACGCGCTAAAGACCATTCGCATTCACATTTAACTCAACTATCGATAAACACAAACTTATTAAGGCGCATTTCGACAGTCAATAGACGTCGTCGATATTGCTGTCAATATTGCTAAGTGTGGGCTCACAGGCGGATTCTTTCCGTCGCTCAAACTGTTTTGAAGCTCATTATTGGTAAACTCATTTTTGGTGTCGCTTTGTGCGTTTACACGAGCAAAAAGAATCCAGCATTTCGTATCGAGTTTATCATGTCTTTCCATAAAATGTTGGCAAATGTTGGTGCTCATCGGCTAAGCGACACTTAGCGTATGTTGCATATTTCATTTGTATGTTAGGATGAAGGTCTCATTTTGCTTGCAATGAATTATCATGTATGTGGTAGAATTTTCAAAATATTTCTATAATATTATATACACATATTTGTATAATACATATAAAAAATAGATAGCAGAATTCAAATTTCTTAACGAATGGTATACATTCATTTGAAACCGAGCACTCTTGCAACCATGAAATCAACTTCAAAATGAAAAAGAGTGCTGAAAATGTTAGCAACTTTGCTGTTACGAACAAGAACACAAAGCGTGTCGCCCGAGCACGAGTTGCACGGTCCCTTCGTCTTTCCTATGGTTGTGTTGAGTTCCAATTTAATGGCTATACACTATATCTATATATTTAATTCCATCAACTTAACACTTACTGCTCGCTATTCCAGCTTACAACTTCTTGCTTAGGTCCTAATTGCTTTTAACATGACAACAGTCAAACACAAAGTTAATGGAGGAGTTAATTCCATCCGTTTCCTGGATACCTAGGTTCTGGTACATCCCTTGACTTAAAGCTGTCCCGAGATTCCATTCTTGATCAGAATGTAACTCCATTGGAACACCGAAACCCACTCATTGATGAATGCGTCCGCCACTGGTACAGCCTCTTGATTAGGAACTGTGTATAAGTCGGGCAATTGGTTGAAATGGTCCTCTCCTTAAGTACTCGGGAGGTTTGCCCATTTTCGCTTTTCCATACTCGATGCAAGCAGCCACACATCAACTTTAAACTGCTCCGATCTGCCCAATATACTTTTGCGACTGAGCTTTCTGAATTTATTTCTCCACTCGTTGTACATTGGTTCAACTCCACTTCATGCAATACATTTTCAATTTGTGGACCTTTATGCAAAGAGTCATACATTTTAGGTTTAATTTCATCCTGCTCTTCCACCTGTGAGGACATTTTCAAATTCTACACCTTCTTGCAAGGAGTCATCCTTTTCAGGTTTAATTTTATCATGCTCTTCCACCTCTGAGGACACTTCTGTGTTGCTATACACGTTTCGTGCTCTCCGAACTGACCGACCCTTGTACTGGTATACACGCTTGACGAACATGACAACACACTAACTAGAACCGTGCACATTCTGGCAACTACGAATTCACTAACTAGTCGCTTCTGGTAATATATCGTGGATTCGATTATGTTGTATCATCCGTGCTCGTACCAATACGATATGTTCAGAAATTTGAATTTGGTAACTGATGTTTTGCACATTACATATATACATAGACAAGGTGTAATAGAAATACTTTGTAAATAAGGATAAAAAACAAGATATTAAAAAATATTTAATTGAAATTAGCGGTGGACGTCTAATTTTCTCAGCATGCAAAAATTTCTCGTGGTTATAATATCTCATGGTAAAAATATACCACGCTATAAAAAAATGTCTCGTGATTATAATATGTCATGGTAAAAATATATCACGCTATAAAAAAATGTCTCGTGGCTATTAAAATGTCATGGTAAATATATAATATATCCTCCTTTAAAAAAATGTCTTGTGGTTATTATATCTCATGGTAAAAATATCCCGCTATAATTTCTCATTGCAAAAAGTTAGAAGGGTGATGAAACCCTTGGTGGGGGTTCAGTTTGGTGAAGACCAGTAATTTGATGTTTCAAAGCATTTATGATGTGCTTTAATCAAAAAGGAAAGAACACCCTCTGCGAAAAGGGTTTTATGTATATTTATTATCGCGATGATGGTAGTAAAATTGGGGAAACTTTAGTATACCATCCCACGATTTCAGGGTTAAGAGGGGTATGGTTGAGGTTAGAGGAGATTCTCCAGATAAAGAATATATATATAATTATAGCCGCCGGAAACTTATAGTTTTCGAGATATTTGCGCTTTAAGTTGAAAATTTCACAAATTTTACTTACTTACATTTCACTACAAAGTTTCTACATATTTATTTTATATTAATTATTTTAATATATGCTTTAAATAGGCATTTTATTTTTACACAATTTATGTATATGCACAATAATAAATGGGTTCCATGTTGACAGATAATAAGTGTTGCCATATCCAAACGAATGAAAGCAGTCAAAATAAATAAAATACCCAATTACCTTCTACAGAATTGTATTATATGCACAATATTTACTAATCCAATGATACGATATGTAAACGGACAAAAAAAGGAAACGGTACCTTGTTTAGTTGTAACAATATCCGTTATAATCCGTTATAGAAAATGAAGTTTAAAGAGAGTGATATACCCTCTATAACATAACGCTTCAAAAAAATAACCCTGGTCGGTCCAACACAGGGGTGTACCTAGGTCTTTTCGCATAGAACTCCTTTTTGCCGGGGTGTACCAAGGTTTTTTTCGTGCCGAACTTCTTTTTGGGCCCTGGCCAGTCCAACACCAGGGTTTATCAAGTGAAAGAAACTAAAAGGTTTATTAGGGTCCATCAACAATTATGGTTCCTGTATTTAGGGTATAATCCCTCTTTTTATTGTATTTTTCTTTCTTTGCAAAATATGGCAACACTGGTTATTTGACATTTATTTTATTGTCAAAATTAATAAAATTGAAGAATGATTTAAATATTGAAATAAAGCTATTTTTGCATCATATAATATAACCAAAATCTGTAAAAACGAATTAGTGAAGTGTTAGTTTATATAAAAGTGAAATATATAAGTGCATAATTCATTTTAAATCGGAAAAGTACGTACTTTAAATTGTTGAAATTTTCCACTGTAAACGTAAATACAGTGGGTCACAGCTTATTTGATACAGCAGTCGATATAAATTTCGAATCCTAATATTTTCTAAACTGAAAGGAATATTGAAAAAATTTAAACGCTATATTATAGAGTAAAGAATTTCATATATATAATCTACTTCATTTATTTCAAAAATATTTTATTTTCAAATATATGTATATAAAATTAGAATTACTGCTTAATTTCAGGTCACAGCTTATTTGATACAGTTCAATTCATTCTAAAATAACATAAACAAATCACTTTCCATCTTAAATTTTAATATTTTGTGTGAAAGCCTTTCGCCTTAACAAGAGCCTGGATCCTGGTTGGCATTCATTGGACTAACTTTTGTGTGGTTTCTAGCGTAGTTTACTGCTGTATCAAATAAGCTGTGACCCACTGTATCTCGAAAACTATTAGTTTACCGCTGCTATATCTATATATATTCTTGACATGGAAGATCTCCTCTATCCGCCCATATCCATTTTATCCCCAAAAGCCTGGGACGGTATAATTAAGCCGACCAAGTATTTGTTTCATTATAGACATTATATTATTTGTCTTATGTGTTGATACTTTTTATATGATATTTTAGGATCGATTATACAAGAATTTGACTACCAACATGCCCTTAGAGCCTGCCAAAATCAAAGCTGCAAAAGTGCGTGCGAAAATTAGTCGAAATTCCAATGTAACGAGAGAGCCATCAAGCAGCATCGTTGCAGCGGCAGTTGGCAAAGTCTCAACGTCTGCTGTTAGTGTATTTGGTAATCGTTCGAACATGTGCCGTACAGTGTCTCGTATAAGGGCTGATAATGAGATAATCACTGCTAATTCTGTATCAATTAATGAATTAATAATTCCTGATGCGTAATACTACGTATTCTATATCGTAAGGCTTGGAGCTGAGCTAAGGTCTTGGTTGGACGTTAATAGCTTAATAATCGCCGTGGAAGATATATTATTTTTACAACTAAGCGTAATTTGAGTTATCTTCAAACATCAGATACTTGGTTTGCCGACAGAACATTTCATGTCGTTCCTTCGATTTTCTACCAGCTGTATAGCATACATAGAATTGTAAATGGAGAAGTTATGCCTCTCGTATTTACATTGTGTCTGGAAAATCGAAGTAACTATACCGTAGTATGCTGTCGCAATTGAACGCTATCAAACCTGGATTGAACAATAAAATTATTACTACGGATTACGAGTTGGCTTTTATAAAAGCTGCCCAGGATATTTTTGTTGGTGCAGATTCTATGGAGGAGAATATAGAGACGTGGATTACAAGCTCGCTATGCCGGAGATGGTGATTTTTTATTGCAGTTGATAATGTTGTATGCTCTCGCATTTGTTCCCGAGGCTGATATAGTTGCCATGTATGATTAGTTAATGAAAACTACGTTTTTCAAGGATAATGCTGAGGAGCTGTGGTCGGACTGGACCAATATTTGGTCTCGGGCTGTGGAATCATTATCAAACGACCGTTGACGGTGGCCATCGTAAAAATAATCCAATCGATGGCTGGCATGGAAATTTGAATGTTCGGGCGTAAGCTGCTCATATGAATGTGTGGAAGTTTATTGACTTTTTGTATTGATAAATTTATGTTGATAAGAAATTTTTCTCAGGGAAATTATTGATAAGAAATTTATGATTGAGAATTTCTTCTGCATAAATAAGAGACGGGAGGTATATTTTTGCACTCAAAAGGAAATCGGATAATTGCTACGCCCACAAAATGCTCTTAATAAATAACATATAAAGGGGAATAAGCTCTGAATTAAGATTAAAAAAACCGCTATTTGGTACAAGATATCGCAGTGCAAAGGGATGTCTGTGGGCGGCCCCGCCCTTTAATCAGTTTAATAAGCATATCAATAAATCAATTTCCATCAGACTTCCTGAAAGGAGGTCTGTATAGCACTAATCCATGTACTGTAAAAATATAAAATTAGCTGTATGGCATTAATTTTATATTCTTATGTTACGTTAGTAAAATTGACAAAATCGGAGTACAACTACGCCTACTCTTTAAATGTAAATTTTAAATTTCATATACCATTAATTTTTAACTTTACAGAATATAAATCAATCACAATAAAATTATGGGAATAAGCCTGTAACGAAACTTTTTGCTGCCCCTGCTTCTTGTGATTTGCTGAGGTATACTCGCCGTGTCCAGGGTTCGTTACAAAAAATTTGTAAGCGATGGGGCCTTTTACAAATCGTATTTTATTAAAAAATTACCATACATCCACAATGGTAGAGTAGCGCTCACTATCACGCAGAATTACGGAGGGCAGTGGCAGCGGCCACGATGCCAAGCGTGGAGCAGGTCTAAGGATCAACTCACTACCTACTTCACGTGTGACTTCCAGCCTTCGCACGGTTAAGAGTGAAATGCCTCCCGTTGAATAGCTATTATACGATAGCGTATTCTATTCTGCCGCGCTCTGGGGGTGCTAAGCGGCTTAAGATGACTTACGTTTGCGTCCTGTGGTGATGATGGCTTCCACGGCGATTCTACCGCTACGTGAGTTGAGGCTCGTGTGTGCTACGATGACGATACTCGGATGTTCCTGCCGGCGCTCGTGTAGGCTTAGATGACGATGTGCTGCTGCGTGCGTTGACGCTCGTGGGTGCTACGACGACGACGCCCGGATGTTTCTGCTTCCGCTCGTGTAGACTTAGATGGCGATGTCTTGCAGCATGCGTTTACGCTCGGATGTTGATGTTTCTACCGGCGCTCGTGTATAGCCGTTTAAAAAAATTCCCGGTTGAGTCGGTCAGAGGATCAACTTACTACCGGACTCACCCTTAACGAACGGCGTTAACAACTAACAAGTTAACAACTTAAGACACTAAGACTAGCCAGAGGATCGACTCACTGCTGAGTCTAGTGTCATAGTTATAATAATGTTCGTTGTTTTAGCAGAGTTTATGACCGACATCAGTATGTGATACTCGTTTAATTGAACAATTCATCGCTTAATTAGAGAAGTTATTTAAAATAAAATTCATATGTGCACTTTAAGTATTTAGTATTTAGTAAAGATATTTAAATAATATTTTTAACTTTTAACTTATAAAATATGAAGAACAAAATCAAGACAATGCACTTAGAGTTCATTATTATAAAAAAAAAAATAACTTAAGAAAAAACTAGCTATTGTTTATATGCAGCACTTGCATTCAAATTCTTCAAAAAGATCTTTGCTTACATTTTTTAAATGTTAATTGAAGAAGTATGTAATTTTTTTTATATTGTTCAATCTACGTGAAATATCAGGCGATTATTCCCTAAATTACATTAAAACTTGTTTTCTCAATAAATATATCTTCGAAGTACTTGTATATAAATATTTTAAAACTTCGAGAGCGGACGGATGCCTTATGTGGAACATAACAGATTAGTTTTTTAACCAAAGCAATTAACCGGTGGAAATTAAAGGTATATATTATCTGCTATAACACATATTTTTAATCAATTAACCAGGTTCAATTATGCAGGAATATTTACTTTGTCCACAATATATTTCTTTTGCATACAATATATTTTTGACCGTTCAGGTGGTTCAAATAAGCGGGCAAATCAATTAACCGGAGGATGCTGTACCTCCAAACAAATTGTTTAGAACGGATTATAGCATATAGATGCCATACAAACTGATCGATTACAATCTAGTCGTTGTATGGAAAACTTTTGTATTTGACGAGATTTCTTCTCGAAATTCGGCATGGCCCAAGGCAACAGTACAATATCCACAGAAATTCTCAGATCGGACCGCAACCAATGTTTTAAATTGAGTTGATACTAAATGCTTACCAATTAAAGAAATGTGAAACACATTTGATTTATAATTTTAAATATTTTCTACCTCGTAGAGTTACCGTTGAAGAACCAC